AGTTAGAGCCTGCCCAGGCCTCTGTGTAACTGGGAGGGTAGTCAAGATTGAGTGTTAGTTAAGTGTTAGGTAGTCTAAAAGGTACACTGTATGGAGAGGCTGCCAGGTTCTTAGTGGAGCTGGATTACTTCATCTTTATTTCTAGTAATGTTTTATGTTGAAATGTGTATATTGGAACAGACTATATGCTGAGAGAAGTACGTTATATCGAGGGTCTAAATGTGAAACATCTCAATTATATATGGACAGAGTGTGTGTGTGTGTGTGTGTGTGTGTGTGTGTGTGTGTGTGTGTGTGTGTGTGTGTGTGTGTGTGTGTGTGTGTGTGTGTGTGTGTGTGTGTGTGTGTGTGTAAAAGGAATTAGGGAAAGGGAGTAAATGGGAAGTAGGGAAGGGGGTAGAGGTGAAGAGGGTGGAAGGGTCGTAGAGAAGGGAAGGAGGGAAGGGAGTAGGGGAAGTAGGGAAGGGGTTAGGGTAGAGGGAGAAAGGAAGGGGTTAATACTACTTGTATAATATCTTATAATATACACACAAAGACTTACAATGACCACCAATAAAATAATAACATACTACTCATCATGACGCACTTAACATAAATAATAACGAATACTGTAACATCACATATTACCAATAACATACAGTGATCATTAATAACAAGTCCTTGCTGTATCGTGTTTATGTGTTGTCTGGTATCGTGTCTGTGTGTGTCTGTATCGTGTCTGGTGTGTCTGTATCGGTGTCTGTGTGTCTGTATCGTGTCTATGTGTGTCTGTATCGTGTGTCTATGTGTGTCTGTATCGTGTCTATGTGTTCGTATCGTGTCATGTGTTCGTATCGTGTCTGAGTGTTCATGTATTGTCTGTATCGTGTCTATCGTGTGCTCGTATCGTGTCTATGTGTGTCGTAATGTGTTTGTGTATGTTGTACGTGTCTGTGTGTTCGTATCGTGTCTATGTGTGTCTGTATCGTCGTTCGTATCGTGTTTGTGTTCGTATCGTGTCTGTGTGTCTCGTATCGTGTCTGTGTGTTCGATTTGCGTGTCTGTATCATGTCTGTGTGTCTGTATCGTGTCATGTGTGTCTGTATCGTGTCATGTGTGTCTGTATTGTCATGTGTGTCTGTATCGTGTCTATGTGTGTCTGTATCGTGTCTGTGTGTGTCTGTATCGTGTCTATGTGTCTGTATCGCGTTCATGTGTGTCTGTATCGTGTCTATGTGTGTCTGTATCGTGTCTGTGTGTGTCTGTATCGTTGTCTATGTGTGTCTGTGTATTGTCTATGTTGTCTGTATCGTGTCTGTGTGTGTCTGTATCGTGTCTATGTGTGTCTGTATCGTGTCTGTATGTGTGTCTGTTATCGTGTCTGTGTGTGTCTGTATCGTGTCTGTGTGTGTGTCTATTATCGTGTCTGTATGTGTCTGTATCGTGTCTATGTGTCTGTATCGTGTCTGTGTGTCTGTATCGTGTCTGTGTGTCTGTATCGTGTCTATGTGTGTCTGTATCGTGTCTATGTGTGTCTGTCGTGTCTGTATGTGTCTGTATCGTGTCTGTGATGTGTCTATCGTGTCTGTGTTATTATTGTATCGTGTCCTGTGTGTCTGTATCGTGTCTATGTGTGTCTATTATCGTGTCTATGTGTGTCTGTATCGTTATGTTCTGTATGTGTCTGTATCTCGTGTCTATGTGTGTCTGTATCGTGTCTGTGTGTGTCTGTATCGTGTCTATGTGTGTCTGTATCGTGTCTATGTATTGTCTGTATCGTGTCTGTGTGTCTGTATCGTGTCTATGTAGTGTCTGTATCAGGTCTCATTAATGTCTGTATCGTGTCTATGTGTGTCTGTATCGTGTCTATGTGTTGTCTGTATCGTGTCTGCTATTGTGTCTGTATCGTGTCTTGTGCGTGTCTCTGTATCGTGTCTATGTATGTCTCGATCTGTGTCTATGTATGTCTGTATCGTGTCTATGTGTTGTCTGTATCGTGTCTATGTGTCGGTTTCCTGTATCCGGACAGTATTCTACTTCGGGGTTAATAATAATGTGCTAGGCTGTTGATCTGTGGACCGAGGTGTTTGTTTACAGAAAGCTGGGTAGGTGTGTGAGTGTCTGTCGACCCTAGGTGGAGGTCAGGCTACAAGTGTGTGTGTGTGTGTGAGAGAGAGAGAGAGGGTGAGAGAGTAAAGTCACACACACACACACACACACACACACACACACACACACACACACCATTATCACCACCACTTTCTTGCTATTGTTGAAACTTAATTTTGGGTGGGTGTTTTTTATTTACTTTTGTTTTCTGGTAAAATATCTTATGTTTTTAGAGTAAAGTTATGTGTTGGTGGGCGGGGGCTGTTGATGCATTCCACTTACCCAGGCACGTCACGTACACACACACACACACACACACCACCACATACACACACACACACCACACACACCACACACATACACCACCACCACACACATGAAATACACACACACACACACACACACACACACACACACACACACACATACACATACACCACACACATACACACATACAAGTGTGGGTTAATTAATAATAAACTACTTGATTATCAGGACAAACTACAACAATGAAACAAACAAACAAACAAACAAACACATGATCTATATATACAAACAGATAAAAACACGATGACGTCTCACACACACACACACACACACACACACGGTCTTCCTACACTGCTATTTACTAGGGCGGAGGATTCTGGATAAGTATGTGTGCGTGTGTGTGTGTGAGAGAGAGAGATAACGGGTTAACAAAAGCGAGCTGGACTCACCCGTCGTACTCATGGCCGGGCTGTGGGTGGTGGGTGACACATTGTAACCTAGGGAACACAACTTGTCCTCCTTGTGTGAGCCTTGGGCCTTCTCGCGGCCTCGCCTCATCAGTCAAAACCACTCACTGGGCGACTATGGGCACGAGACGTCACACCAACCCCACCACTAACGCTCGGTATTGTTGTTGTTGTTGGTTTCCTCTCGTTACCGTGGGACAACAACACACACTGCACCACCTTTTCTTCTCTTGGTTTATGTATCTGATTACTGTATTAGTGACGCCACCGTGACGTGTGTGTGTGTGTGTGTGTAGCCGGGGAGGACATATGTGTTTGGGTGAACCCGTAACATGTGCCCTGGGCAGGGCAGTATGCTTCTGTACACACTTGACCCACCACCTCCTCCCCCTCACCCAACACAGCCGTGGCCGGGATGATGCCTCCTCCTCCTCCTCCTCCTCCTCCTACTCCTGTGATCCACTACACGGGGAGCGTCAAGTGGTGGCTGGGTTTATGGTGAAGGCCGCCCCTCGTGTTGTGTGTGTGGTAGGTGAGACACACGGGTGTCATATACTCTCTCACCCTCCCACCTCCACTCAACACCCAGTCTTCGCCCTCACCAGTAGCAGCAGGGGTGGCAGCAGCAGGGGTGGCAGCGACAGCAAAACCAGTAGCAGGCACCAGCACCACACACCTGCCTCCGCCTCCACCACACACCACCTCCACCACACACCACCTCCACCACACACCACGTCCACCACACACACACACCACCACCACCACACACCACCTGTCTTCCTGTTCTCGGCTGGCACAGATTTTATTATCACCGTCTGCCAGGTATATAGTATGGGCGGTGGTGTGGGTGATGTGGGCGGTGGTGGCAGTGATGTGGGCGTGGTGTGAGGTGATGTGGGCGGTGGGTGGCAAGAGTGATGTGGGCGGTGGGTGGCAAGAGTGATGTGGTGGTGGGTGGCAAGGGTGATGTGGGGATGGTGGCAAGGTTAATGTGGGTGTAGGGTGATGTGTGCGATGGCAGGGATTTTTGGGTGGTGGGTGGTAGGGATGATGTGGGCGTTGGGTGGCAGAGATGATATAGATGGAGGTGGCTGGTGGAAAGTGGGCGATGGGTGGAAGGAATAATATGGGCGAAGTTGGTATGGGGTTATATGGGTGGTGGGCGGTAGAGATGATAGTGACGGAGGTGGCAGGAAGTTGTGGGCGCTGTACTTTCTAGATGGTTAGGGTGGCGTGGGCGGTGGGCGTCAGGGGATGATGTGGGTGGGAGGGTTTGCTTTTGGACGATGGGTGGCAAGGACGATGTGGGCGGCGTGGTGGGTGGGCGGTAGGGGGTGGTGGTGTGGGCGGCGGGGGCGACGACGCTGTGGGTGGGCGACGTTGGGCAGTAGAGTGGGTGGATAATGTGGGCGGTGGGTGGCAGAGAACGACGTGGTGGTGTGGGCGGTGGGTGGCAGCAGCAGGAGGGGACGCTGTGGGTGGGCGGCGTGTCGGGTGGTGGTGGTGGGCGGTGGTGCGGGGAGGAGGGCTGCCAGCAGGTGCACACTGGCGGCGCCGTAGTACAACTGAGTGAGTGCACGGGCGGAGGGACCTGTAGACTGCTTGACTCCGCCGGCCGCGCTCTGATGCCTCCGTCTACTACACTCGGCCTCTCACTACCGCTCCTCCCTCAACGTTTCGCTCACTCTCTCACTCTCCTCTCTTCCACCTCCTTATCGAACATTTCTTGCTAAAAACTGATAGAGTTTTGTTCACTGCATCAGACGCTATGTCATACGGGAGGTCAGAGTCGCGTAGATGTGAGAATAAGGTGGTGGAAAGTTGTGCGAAAGGTTGTGAGTGTTGTGTGAGAGTGTGTGAGTGTTGTGGTGGTGGTGTGTGTGTGGCAGGGCCGCCTCCCCCGGGGGTTGGGGCGACCACACGGCCCCTGGACCACCACAGACGACACCACACCACCTCCAGCCCGGCCTCCCTGCACGGTGTTGTGCTGCCTCACACACACGCTGGCCTGGGCTGGGGCGGGCACGTGGGTGTTCCACCTTCAACACTGCCCCCGAACACCGCCACCCGCCGCCCCTCTGCCTCCTTGGCGGCCTGCCAGCCGCCCAGCTCAAGCCGCCACCTGTTCACTTGGAGGCAGTTTTTCGTGGGCTGTGTCGTGACAGTGGACCAGAGATCATGTTTCTTACCCTAGCGGGAGTCCCCATGTGTCCCACCACGCCCACCATGTGTCCTACCACGCCCACTGTGTCCCAACACGCTCACCACGTGTCCCACCACGCCCACCATGTGTCCCACCACGCCCACCATGTGTCCCACTACGCCCACCATGTGTCCCACCACGCCCACCATGCGTCTCTCGCGCCCACCATGTGTCCCACCACGCCCACTATATGTCCCACCACGCCCTGTGTCCCGCCCACCAGGTGTCCCACCGCCCACTATGTGTCTCACCACGCCCACTATGTGTCCCACCCGCCCACCAGGTGTCCCACCACGCCCACCAGGTGTCCCACCACTCCTACTATGTGTCCCCGCCCACTATGTGTCTCACCACGCCCACTATGTGTCCCACCACGCCCACTGTGTCCCAACACGCCCACCTGGCCACACTCATAATCTCTTGGCCACGCCCACAACCTCCTGACCAAATCCATCCACATGGCCACGCCCACGAACTTCTGGCCACGCCCAAAACCTCTTGGCCATGTCTACACCTTCATGGCCACGCCCACAGTCGCCCACAACCAGGAGCCTCTACCACTCCTCCCACCTCACCCCTCCCCACACTCCCTCCCTCCACCCTCCATCCTCCCACACCCCTCCATCCCTCCCTCCACCCCTCCATCCCTCCCACACCTCCACCCCTCCCACACCTCCATCCTCCCCCTCATCCCTCCCACCTCCATCCCTCCACACCTCCATCCCTCCCACCTCCATCCTCCCACCCCTCCATCTACCACCCTCATCCCCTCCCCTCCATCCCTCCCCACCCCTCCATCCCTCCCCTCATCCCTCCCCACCCCTCCATCCTCCCACCCCTCCATCCCTCCCACCCTCCATCCTCCCCCCTCCCCACCCCTCCCACCCCTCCATCCTCCCCCTCCATCCCTCCCCACCTCCCCACCCCTCCCCCCTCCATCCCTCCCCCCCTCCATCCCTCCCCACCTCCATCCTCCCCACCCCTCCATCCCTCCCACCCCTCCATCCTCCCACCCCCTCACCCCTCCCACCCTCCATCCCTCCCCACCCTCATCCCTCCCACGCCCTCCATCCCTCCCCTCCATCCTCCCACCTCCCATCCCTCCCACCCCTCCCACCTCCCCACACCCTCCATCCCTCCCACCCTCCATCCCTCCCCACCCTCCATCCTCCCACACCCTCCTCCCTCCCACCCTCATCTCCCCACCTCCATCCTCCCCACCCCCTCCATCTCCCACCTCCATCCTCCACCTCCACCTCCCTCCCTCCTCCACCCCCCTCCATCCCTCCCACGCCTCATCCCTCCCCACCTTCATCCCTCCCCCTCCATCCCTCCCACCCTCATCCCTCCACACCTCCATCCTCCCACCCTCATCCCTCCCCACCCTCCACCCTCCCACACCTCCATCCCTCCCACCTCCATCCTCCCACCCCTTCCCCTCCATCCTCCCACCCTCCATCCCTCCCACCTCCATCCCTCCCCCTCCCATCCCCTCCCACCCCTCCACCCCCTCCCCACCCTCCCATCCTCCCACCTCCCATCCCTCCCTTTCCCTTCCCACACCCTCCATCCTCCCCACCTCCATCCCTCCCCACCCCCTCCATCCTCCCACCCTCCATCCCTCCCCACCCTCCCACCCCTCCCACCTCCCCTCCCACCTCCATCCCTCCCACCCCTCCCCTCCCCACCCCTCCCCCTCCCACATCTCCATCTCCCACACCCCTCCATCCCTCCCACCCTCCATCCCCCCACCTCCACCCCTCCCACACCCTCATCCCTCCCACACCTTCTACCCCTCCCCACCTCCTACCTCCCCCACAACACCATTTACCTATTTTCTATATGAACTGAAATTATATTATAGGAACATGTGTGTGGAGTAGTGTAATCTCTCTCTCTCTCTCTCTCTCTCTCTCTCTCTCTCTCTCTCTCTCTCTTCTCTCGCTCTCTCTCTGTTTCTCACAAAGGCTTCATGTGGGCGTCATGAGGGTCGCATCTGTGTTTATGTTTGGGTGAATCAGCTGATAGAGAGTAAACACGGTCCATATGATTTTCTAGGAGGAGATATATTGATTTAAATAACAAGGACAGACAGAGAGAGAGACACACACTGAACAAACAAATACGCGTGTTAGTGTGTGTGTGTGTGTGTTGTCCCGCAGATTTTGTTGTTGGAAACTGGTGGTGAAGCTATATTAATATACTGTACTCACTGAGACGTTGGATTGACCACAAATACCTGAGTCAGCCGCTTGTGTTTGATCTGACCAACCATTTATATCACTATACATGAACCGCTCTTGTGTGGACACCTGGGGAGTTGTCAGGTGTTGAGAGTCTCTTTATAACACGTCAGCCACAGACACCTGGCCCAGGGTTTCTTTACAGGGATCCCGGACTTTAAATCGTTAAATTAAATCCCGGAACAAGTGCCAGAAATCTCGGGATTTCCCAGTTCTTACTAAGTCATCTATAAACGAGAAAAAATAGTAATATTATTGTACAGAAAATATAATACTTTTGGTCAAGTTCTTCCTGTTTATATCCTGTAAACTCTATACAGTGTTAAGGTACAGTATGTTATAGTGACTGAGGTGTGAGGTGGTGGCCGAGTGTTCCTTAAAGTTATTTTGGAAGCTGGAAACATTAATGTTTTGTTTCATGGTGCATCAACAGTTCCGGGGGTCTCGTGTATGGGTGTCGTATACTGTTTGTTTACCTTTCTAAAAGCTACTCAAACTTTTTAGACAGTACAACTGTCTACCGTCCTGCACAGGTATAATTCATTAGTGTCGTCATGTTCTTTTTACTTAAGTTTGTAAAATATTTCCCCGTCAGTATATGAATTTTTTATTTGTTTATTTTTATGAGAGGAACAATTTGTATTCTGTTAAGTCTGTGTGTGGTAGCAGCCTCTCAACACCCACAGGAGACTGTGTCAGTAGTGGTCCCCATACAGTATTGGTGTTCATATACTGTATATACTGGCCTCACTGTACTGTACAGGGTGTCTCAGAGGTACAGGGTGTCTCAAAGGTCACACACCACAGGGAAAATAATATTCTTCTCATGTTTTCACTTTCAGGCGAGGGAATGCTAACCAGTGAGAGAGATGTACCACACCCTGTAGGTAGAGAGGAGGGCCCTCACTACAGTAGTTTACCCCACAACACCCATCTGTCGGCAGGTGAGTCTTCCACCCACTGTTAACACCCCCCCCATGGTAACCACAGTACCATGGGAGGTGTCTCATGTCGTGTAAACAGGCATATGGCGGTGGTCGTGATAGTCAGCTGACCCCGGGAGGTAATGATCACTTTGTGTCTGTGTTACAGTGGTGTGTGCAGGTACAGGTTCTGGTGTGGCACGGTGGCAGGTGCCGGTGTGTGGCAAGGGGTGTGGGTTGGAGGGCGGTACAGGGTGCTGGTGTGTGCACAGGTGGTACAGGTTCCTGTGGCACAGGTGGGCAAGAGGTGCTGGGTGGTGGACAGTGTGTGTGTGGCACAGGTACAGGTTCCGGTGGGCACAGGTACAGGTGCTGTGTGGCACAGGTGGTACAGGTTTCGGGTGTGGCACAGGTGTGTACAGGTGCCGGGTGTGGCACAGGTGGTACAGGTGCCGGTGTGGCACGAGGGTACAGGTGCCGTGTACAGGTGCAGGTTGGGTGTGGCCAGGTGGTACAGGTTACGGGTGGGCATGATGGTACAGGTCGGGTGTGAAGATGGTACAATGTTGCGGTGTGGCACAGGTGGTACAGGTTCCGGGTGGGCACAGGTGGTACAGGTGCCGTGTGGGCAGGTGGTACAGGTTCCGGGTGTGGCACAGGTGGTATGAAAGCGTGTGTGTGGCACAGGTGGGGTTCCTGGGGGTACAGATGCAGGTTCCTGCACAGGTGTACAGGGTGCCGGGTGTGGCACAGGTGGTGTGCTGGGTGTGTACAGGTGTGTGGTACAGGTGCTGGGTGTGGTACAGGTGAGGTTCCGGTGTGGCACAGGTGGTACAGGTGCCGGTGGGCACAGGTGGGTACAGGTTGGTGATGTGGCACGATGCAGGTTATGGGTGTGCACAGATGGTACAGGTTGCGATGTGGCACAGATGGTACAGGTTCCGGGTGTGGCACAGATGTACAGGTTCCGTGTGCACAGATGGTACAGGTTCCGGGTGTGCACAGATGGTAATGTTAGGGTGGCACAGATGGGTGGGGTTAGGTTCCGGGTGTGGCACAGATGGTACAGGTTCCGGTGTGTGGGTACAGATGGTACAGGTTACGGGGTGTGACAGATGGTACAGGTTCTGTACACAGATGGTACAGGTTCCGGGGTGTGGCACAGATGGTACAGGTTACGGGGTGAACAGATGGTACAGGTATGGGTGTGGACAGATGGTACAGGTTCCGGGTGTGTGCACAGATTGGTGGTTACGGTGTGACACAGATGTATGAGTTCGGACACAGATAGTACAGGTTACGGGTGTGGACACAGATGGTACAGGTTCCGGTGACACGGATGGCGCACACCATCTGTGGCATCCTGTGGAGGGGACGATAGTTATTAAGAGATCCGCTAGTAGCAACCTCCTCCTTTCCCTTCCTCCTCCCTCCTCCTTCCTTCCTTCCTTCCTTCCTTCCTTCCTTCCTTCCTCCCCTGCACAGATATTTCCATCAAACCAGACAGGTGAGTGATTAAGGTGAGGAGGTGGAGGTGACAGATGAGGGGACAGTATGAGTGTGAGTGTGACAGTATGAGTGGGGAGACAGTATGAGGAGGTGAGACAGTATGAGTATGTGACAGTATGATGGGAGGGGAGTGTGACAGTATGAGGGAGGTGACAGTATGGGTGAGGGGTGAGGTGAAGGTGTGGGGATGTGGAGTATGAGGGGGAGGGTGGACAGTAGGGAGGGGGAGGTGACAGTATGGAGTGGAGGTATGTATGAGTAGGGTGAGGGGTGATGCAAGGGAGTGTGAGTGTGACAGTATGAGTGTGGTGTAGGGTAGGAGGGTGGGGTGACAGTATGGAGTGAGGTGAGGGTGACAGTGGTGAGGTGGAGGTGACAGTGTGAGGAGGGTGAGTGACAGTATGAGGAGGTGACAGTATGAGGTGAGGGACAGTATGGAGGGGTGAGTGTGACAGTATGAGTGTGGGAGTGTGTAATGAGAGACAGTATGAGTGAGGTGAGTGCACAGTATGGGTGTGAGGTGACAGTAGTAGGAGGGTGACAGTATGAGGTGGGAGTGTGACAGTATGAGTGAGGGACAGTATGGGGAGGTGAGTTTGACACTATGAGTTCGAGTGTATGTGACAGTATGGAGGGGAGTGTGACAGTATGTGTGGAGGCATGAGTGAGGTGAGGGTGACAGTATAGAGTGTGACAGTATGAGGTGGAGTGAGGGGTGAGGATAGTAGGGTGTGAGTGACA